AATACACGCGAAAGGGGGGGGGGGGTAAGTCATTATTTAGCTGAATTCGAATTTGTTTAAAAAATACGAACCTTTGAATTTGGCAACTTTTGCACATTTTTATTAAAACGGGCTGTGCTTATCAATTTTTATCTTGGAAACTATTGGCCAATTATATTGTGTAAAACTTGCTCGTGCGATAATGATGGCTCTGTTTTTTGTGTAATAAAATTGTTTTCATTATATTCTTTCCTGCAGTCTCCAAGTCCACCACACACAAAGATCCTGTCCATATTATTGACCATACCATCCTTATCCTTTCCCGATGGAAGAAAACCACCACTTTCTCGTGGTTTCTGTCGAGTAATGACACCTTCTTCATAAATAATAATCAACGAGCAAGGAAACTTATATCTATAAATCAGGTTATAATTAAAAAGGTGTCATTGACGAAGTTAACTGAAATACTTCTTGAGGTATAAATGGGGCCATTTAGTCGTATACGAGACTTGCCGATATTGTTCTTAGACCATATTGAAGTACTATGAGGTACAACAAATGGTACTGTCCAACAAATTTTGACCTTCAAAAAACTCTGCAATATCCATTGGGTGATCCTTGTAGAGTTTCTGGTCCCAAACACGAATCCGCAAGCAGAATTGCTCTATCACCCTCAGTTTTTGAAAAATATGGGTTTTTGTGAAAACACATGATTTTGGGAAAAAATGAGGTATTGCGTGTAAATTCAAAACGCCAAGAAGTTTCATGTAGTCTTATAAAATAAAGGAGAGTGTCCTAAACATATTAGTGTGTACAGTTACTAAATTTTGTGGTTTTGAATGGTTGTAAATGGCCATCAAAGTTTAAAAATGAGCCGATGTGCGTACCTTCTACACAATACTTTTGCATTTTTACGAAAAGTTCTTTATCTAGCACAAAAACTCAAATTTTTCAAAAACTGAGACTGATAGAGCAATTCTGCTTGCGGATTCGTGTTTGGGACGAGAAACTCTACAAGGATCACCCAATGGATGTTGCAGAGTTTTCTGAAGGTCAAAATTTGTTGGACAGTGTAATAGGGGTACATACTTCCGTGTTCTGAGATAAACCGGACATACTCTATACAGTTTTTATTGTTAAATATATAATACAAGTATTAGTATAATAAAAATGTCATTGTGCGAATCTCTTCCCGTTAAAAGAAAATTAATTTGTCAATAAGTTAAATAATCAAAGAAATAGAAATTTTAATTTTAAATCTTATATAAAAAATTTAACCTGTTAGTACTTCTTTTTTCATATGTTTCTAAGTCTCATTCTTTTACAGTGACGACCAGCAATTCATTGGACGAGTTGAAGCTGCAAAACGGTCCAAGTCTGAACAACAATAACAACAACAATGATGACAAGAACGATGATATCAGCAACTTGAATCACGTTGGACCTAGCTGGCAGGAAGCTCCGTCTCCAGTTCTGGCTTCAAATCATAGGCTCACACCAACCCTGAACAAAACCAGTAACCTCAGCCCTGTTCTTCCAAGAATAAACGCGCCTACTCCAATAGTGATGAGCACTCCTGCATCAACCACAACTGTTGGCGTGTTTGGTACACCATCTTCAGCCAGTCCAGCCTTTAGTACAGCATCCACATCTTCTTTGGGGAATGCGTCGACGTCAGCTGTGAACAGGTCACCGATTCCAGTGACTTGTGTGATGACTTCGAAGACAAGTTCGCCCACCAGCAGTGTAGCACCCGGTTCCCCGGCTTTATCTGGTAACATTGTTGCTGATACCAGCCAAATCAGTCAACCCCCGGTGGCAAATACAATTTCTACCCCAGCGGTGAGTGTTTTTTAATTGTAAAAAATGTGATGAGATTAACCCCTTAAAGCTCACATTTTTCTGTATTTGATGTGCCAAAAATGAGCAATTTTATTTTTTCTTAATTATTTCCTGAAGTCAGATGCGTGGTGTTACGTCAGCGGTGAAAAGAAAGCACCTACAGTGACGGCCAGCGATCCAGCATCGGAAGGAGTGTACCGTTTATGGGCTGCAAACGACGAAAAGGCAAAATCCGACATAATACTGTCGATCAATCCGTCGGAATTAAAACAAATAAAGGAATGTAAAACGTCGAGCGAGGTATGGCGGAAACTCGAGCAAATATACCAGTCACGGGGGCCTGCGCGTAAAGCTACGCTACTGAAGAAATTGACTCTACAGCGGATGAACGAGGGCGAAGACGTTCGCGAACACCTCAGGAAATTCTTTGATGCTGTCGACAAACTGAACGAAATGGACGTGGACATCAATGCAGATCTGCTGGCAATCTTGTTACTGTACAGTTTGCCACAGAGTTTTGAAAATTTCCGCTGCGCAATTGAGTCCCGTGACGAGTTGCCACCTCCTGATACTCTTCGAATTAAAATCATCGAAGAAAGCGACGCGCGCAAAAATGAAATGCGCGACACAGTGCCAAATGCCATGATTGCCGGAAGATATATAAAAACAAACCATGGAAGAAATAACTACAACAAAACTGCGGAAAACAGTGATGACGATCGCTCGAAAACAAAATGCTTTCGATGCCGGAAATTCGGTCATATAGCATCCGAGTGCCGCAAGGGTAGAAACACGAGACACTCGGCTAAAGGTGCTAGCAGAGATATATCTTTTTATACAACGTCGGAATTCGGGCAAAATTGCGCAATAACGCGAGTGAATAATGGGGTGAGAGACGGACGGTGGTGCCTAGACAGTGGCAGCACGTCTCACTTGTGCAAAGATCTAAATAGTTTTACAACGATCAACAAACAGTTGCACGGAAAATTAAATCTCGCAAACAACACGTCGACAAAAATTAACGCGAGTGGAACTTTGCGCGTGGTCATCGATGAAAACGATTCTGAAAAGAATCTGAAAATAGAAGACGCTCTACACGTACCGGACCTAAGAACAAATCTCTTATCGGTCGGAAGTATAACGGATCGTGGGTATAGAGTGCTTTTTACAAGAGATGAAGCCAAAATCATCGATGAGAAGGGCAATAACAAATTGACTGCCATTCGTAAAAATGGCCTATATTACGTAACGGAAAAGGGATCCACACACGGGGCCATGGCAGCAGACGAAGACGCAGGAAAACCGCAACGCTACAACAAACTCGAGATATGGCATCGGCGGCTTGGACATCTTAATCAGCAAGATCTTCTGGAAGCGAAGCGGAAATGCATCATACCGAGCGGCAATATTGAAGATTTTAAACGGACATTGCGGTGCGAAATCTGTATCGAAAATAAGATGACGCGAACACCGTTTCCGGAACAATCGAAGCGTGCGACGGAACCCTTAGAGATTATTCACAGCGATGTCTGCGGCCCCATGCGAACGCACTCACACGCAGGTAATAAATATTTCGTCACGTTCATCGACGACCATTCTCGATGGTGCGAAATACGATTTATAAGGTCAAAGGACCAAGTATTTGACGCATTTCGTGAATTTAAAAATTATATAGAAAATCAGACCGGTCGCAAAATCAAATTCCTACAATCGGATAATGGGAAAGAGTACGTAAATTCGCGTTTTGACAAATTTTTAGGCGATAACGGGATTAAACGTAGATTATCGGTCGCGTACAATCCGCAACAGAATGGAGTAGCCGAGCGGAAAAACCGGACGATAACAGAGACAGCAAGATGTCTAATTGCACAATCCGGTCTACCGCGATCTTTTTGGGCAGAAGCCGTATCGACGGCGAATTATATTCGGAATCGTTGCCCGTCAAGAGCTATAGCTGGAAAATCTCCATATGAGAAACTTTACGGGAGACTACCAGTTGTAAAGTATTTTCGCGATTTTGGATGCGACATATATATTTTAAACAACGATCCAAATAAGGGTATGTTCGAACCTCGTTCGCGAAAGGGGATTTTTGTGGGTTATTCCGAATGTTCGAAGGGGTATCGAATATGGAATAAGGAAGGAAAACGGGTAGAAATCGCGCGCGATGTAAGATTTCTTGAAAATTTTAGCGCGAAGGGAAGCCAGAATTCTGCCGCAGAAAATGTTTCTGAAAATATCCCGCGGAATGATTTAGATTGCGACGAATATAATAGCGAACCATTAACTTTCGATGTCGATCTGTCTTCTCAAAACTATCAAGATGATAATATTGAGAACGGGGGCGATACAGACGAATCGAGCGATAGCGCAAACGAATTAAACGCGGATAACGGCAATCGCGAAGACGAACAGTCTCGGAGAGGTAGAGGGAGACCGAGAAAAATACGTACGGGTATGAGGGGGAGACCCCGAAAAGAGTACAGTACCGTGCAGGTAGCAAGTACCGCGGTCGAGCAGACATTTATGGCCGAGGTCCCTCTAGAACGCGCCATCGCGAGTCCAGACGCGGATGAATGGCACCAGGCCATTGCCATCGAATTAGGGTCAATATTAAAAAATGACACATGGGAAGTTGTCGAGCGTCCAAAGAACGCAAAGGTAATAGGAAGTCGCGTCGTCCTATGTAATAAATACAAGCCTAACGGTGAAATTGACCGTCGGAAGGCCAGAATAGTAGCGCGTGGATTTTCGCAACGTTACGGGGTTGACTTCGGTGAAACTTTCGCTCCGGTTGCGCGTTTACAATCAATTAGGATTGTGGCTGCTCTTGCGGCCGAACACAATATGAAAATCCATCAAATAGATGTAACGTCAGCCTACCTGAACGGAAAACTAGAAGAGGAAATTTTCATAGAAGTTCCCCGTTGCGTCGATAAGGCCCTAGATATATTAGCCACAACCGAAAGTGGCGATTATAATATAAAAACAAAAGCTATAGAAATGAAGAGCAATGTAAGGAACGGAGATAAAGTTTGCTTATTGCGAAAAGCTTTGTACGGTTTAAAACAAGCTGGTCGTAGTTGGCATGGCCGACTAGATAAAGAATTAAAAACCTTTGGATTAATTCCGAGTAGGGCTGATCCGTGTCTATATTATCAGGGGCGAGGGGAAGACATATTAATAGTCCTCGTGTATGTGGACGATATATTAATAGCCTCGCGTAACGTCAACAACATAAATCGTTTTAAGCGGTACATCGGAAACATTTTTCAAATCCGAGATCTGAACGACGTGAAATGCTGCTTAGGGATAGAATTTAAACGTACTAAGCAAGCAATAGAGATTAGCCAGCAAGGTTATATAAAAGATCTGCTAGAACGGTTCGGGATGAAAGATTGTAAACCGGCGTCGACTCCGTTAGATCTAAGTCGAAAATTGCAAAAGGAACCTGAGGATCCAGGTAAAGACGATAAAAATTTACCATTTCGGGAGCTCATAGGTTCCCTTATGTATTTAGCGGTAGCTACGAGGCCGGACATAGCTCACGCGGTCAGTGCACTGAGCCAGTATAATAATTGTTTTGGAAGGTCTCATTGGGTAGAAGCGAAACGCGTTCTACGGTATTTAAAGGGGACTTCAAAAGTAGGTCTGATTTACAGAGCCAACGGCGCGTCGATAGAGGGGTACGCGGATTCCGATTGGGGAAACTCTACGGAAGACCGAAAATCCATTACGGGATACTGCTATAATCTCGCAGGGGCCGCGGTTTCTTGGGCGTCCAAGAAACAAAAGACAGTCGCTCTCTCTTCCGTTGAGGCGGAGTACATGAGCATGAGCGAGGCTACAAAGGAAGCCGTATACCTGCGACGTTTTCTGTCGGAATTGGGGTTTGAATCTCAATCAAATGTAAAATTGTACTGCGATAACCAGGGTGCAATTAAACTAGCGGAAAACGCTGTATTTCATAGTCGCACTAAGCACATAGACATAAGGCATCATTTTGTTCGTGACGTATTGAGAGATGAGAATATAAAGTTAAATTATGTCCCAACTGGCGAGATGGTGGCCGATGTACTTACAAAAGGCCTGCCAGGTCCGAAGCATAAACAGACGTCGAAAATGTTAGGATTAAACCTTGAGATGTAAAGGTAGGATTGTAAATCGTCCCGTCTCGAGGGGAAGTGTCGTACTGAGAGCCGATCTCTCGGTATTGTAAATCGAGAGTTTGTTTAAGCGTTGAGTGCGATACGGGACTGCGTGAAGGCACTTGGGACATAGACCAGACGGCGGGTCATAAAAATGGGAAAATACCCATCGCCGGCGAAAACTGTGCCTGCAGTCAGTCACAGCCGAAACATAGTACGATACACACCCTCTTCTTTAACCGTAGTTTTATATATCCTCGACCGCTCCGCCTTTTTGCTATAAGCTTAAGATTCCTACACCTAGACGTATAGAAATAAGTTTCCCATTTATTTATAATGCTGTGACTTACATTTTTGCAATGGAATAGGGAGGATAGCGCAATATGAAAGGTGAAAGAAACTAATTAAACAAAATTGCACTTTTCGGAGGATTACTTAGTTATGCATGTGTAAGATACGGACATAAGCGTTAAGGGGTTAATGTAAACAGATATGTGAAAGCAGAAAATTTTGTTTTCTGTGTTCAAGTTCCAAATGGTTAATTGTTTAATCCCTTGAGTAACTATTTAATTAATCACAGTTTGCGATTTTATTGTAAGAAGCTTTTATCAGTTTAAGTTATCGTTGTTTGAGGTTCTTTAAATGTTCATTCGTACAAAACTAAAGGATACTTGCGTTGCGTGTATGAAATCACAAATGTTCTTAATTAAGTCCTTTTATTTATATAAGTTATTCTATGTCTGTTTGTTACTGTAACTCGCTCGCGACTGATTCTTGCGAGTCTTGCTTGATTCCGGGAAACGCTTATCTTTTCCTAGCTTGGCTAGCCCGTTCGTTGCTAGCGAATCAGAC